TTACTTCAAGAGGGTAGGTTTTGTCTAACGTGAAGATGCCAGGAAGGAAAACCCTGCTTAAAAAAAAAAAAAAAAAAAAAAAAAAAGTTATTGCTTAATGATACATAATACACAGAAAAAACTTGAACTCAAATGTGAGAGAAAGGAAGAGTACATTTTAGATATAAATATGACTTTTTTTTTGAGAGGGTGTAATATAGCCTGACTGGCCTGGAACTCCTTATGTAGATCAGACCAGTATTGAATTTACAGGAATTCTCCTGCCTCTGCCTCCTGAGTGCTAGGATTATAGGGCAGCTCCACCTTGCCCAGGAGTCTTCCACAGTATTTTAACATAAATACAATTTTCCCCAGGTGCTGGGGATGGAACAGCCCAGAACCTGGCAATAAATCCAATTCCTATCCTTACAAATAGTTGTCTTTTTTCAGATTTCATCATCATCTTGTCAAAAAATCCTTAAAATATGAACCACAAATTTAACTCAGAATTCCACCAAAGTTAAAATGGTACTAGACAACAACTCTAAGACAGTTTTTGATTTGTCAACATGGTTCTAAGAATAACTTATAAAAATAAGAACACAAGGGTAGTCAGGACAGTTCTGAAAAAGAATAAGTGGGGGAGGGGGAACCCTACGGTTCTAATTAAGGCAAGTGCACAAAGTGCAAAACCAAGGAAATTATCAGTAGAGTAGAATAAAAGGCCAAAAATCAATCTCAGAAAATATAAAGATGCTGGGGTTGCAGGTGTGGGCCACCACACCCAGGTTATGCAGCACTAAGGATTAAACTCATGTATGATTGTGTTTCATGTGTGCTAGGCAAGCATACTGCCACCTGAGGTACATTACCACCCGTGGAAACATTTCAAACTAAGGGAAAATAACAAATGCAGGAATGAGTGGACAAAAGCTGATAAAAGTAAGCCAGATCATAATACAAAAGGAAGTACCACAGAAATTCAAGACTTAAAGGTTTTAAAATATAAATATGTAACACTAGAATTTCAATGGCCTTTCTAAATTGTTTTTTAAGGGAAATATAATGTGTAGGCTTCTATATAACTAAAGAATAATATAAATTGTTAAAATGACAATCAGGAAAAATATATACATGACAGAGAATTAATATTCTTAATATGCAAAGAGTAAGGAGCACTTATAAATCAACAAGACAAGCACCAGACATGGTGGCATGCACCTATAATCCCAGTTACTGGGGAGGATGAGGTGGGATAATCACTTTATCCAAGGAGATTGACTTCAGATGGCAATAGCAAGACCCTGTCTAAAAAAATTAAAAAGGAAAAGGAAGAAGAAAAATGGTATGTACAGGCAAATTTATAAAGTAAGAACTAGAAATGGTTAATAAAAACAGGCAGAGTGGCACACATCTATAATCCCAATACTCCAGAGCCTGAGACAGGAGAATTGAGAGTTCAAGACCAGCCTGGGCTGT